CGCCCAGTTCTCCCTAGGAACAACAGCCCCTATGGGTCTGAAGGTGCTGCCACACCGCCGTCTTGCCTTGTCTAACTGTGTCTTGTCTCTTTGCTAGCAAGTCTGCATGACTTTGACATGCTTCTGGATGATGAGTGCTCCATCCACTCTGAACTCCCCAGGTAAGGAGGCCCTTGCCTTGGTAGGGCAAGATCCAGTATGGTCTGGATCCCACCAGTGCACTGGCCTTGGCCCCTTGGATTTTTATAATTGCCAAATATCACATTTATAAACAGGGAGAGCATTTGAGTGGGCAAAGAAAGAGTGAAGGAGGTAGTGTGGTTTGTGCTCTGTTCTACTTGGAGAAAGACAATAGGGCAGTTCAGCTGAGAGTTCTTCCTCAGCATGTGTTCCTCCCTGTAAAATAAGATGACTTTTCAGGCGGGACAGATGTTTGTTGCGTAGGACTCTGTGGGGAATGCGGTGTGCCTAGCATTCCTGGCCCCCCACACCTACTAAATGTCAGTCATGTTCCCCAGCCATTGGATAACCCAAACACCCCCACACATTTTTGAACAACTTCTGGGGGTGGTGCTGCTAGTTGCAGATACAGCTTTTACTGGGCAAGTCATGAAAATAGCAACAGATGCGCTCTGCTGAAGTGAATACTGTCCTCCTGCCTTGTTCTGCCCTGGCCCAAGCTCCAGTTGCAAAAGGAGGGGCTGGAGAAAAGGTTTCACGTATCGAGGGGCAGAAGTGGAGTCAACTCCAGGAGTAGGGCTCATGACTGTTGGTGAGACTGGGGGCTCGTGAGGTCAGGCCTTGGGTGTTTGGCCAAATGGCCTGCCTGCCAGGTCCCAGCTTTTATCCCCTACAGTGTAGTGACCATCCCTGGAGGACAAGTTTATTGTAGTAGAGCTGGACGACTTGGGAGCACCCCAGGCAGGCCCATGATTGGCGCCTCCTTAAGTAGCAGTTCATGTTCATTCAGCATTGGGCAGGGCAGAGGACGACAGCTGGTGGTCACTGCGGATCCCTCTTGTTCAGAGTGATTCTGCTCTGGCCAACCCTAAATTTGCCTTGCAGTTAACCAAGGAATTTACACCCTGTACCTTGGGGTCTTTCCTACAATCAGCCTGGTCAACCACTCCTTGCCATATGCAGCAACTCCCTAAGAGAGGTCCTGAAAATACAACTCTGTTTCTCCTCCCTTTCCAGTGATGGTTTGCTGTCCCGGGTTGTAACCTTTCTAGACCGGCTTTTAATGTGGCTCGGGATCCGCAGGGACTAGGCCTCCACAGAAGATCCCTTCCAGGACAGCACCGTGCTCACCACTGGAAGTTCTCATGGTGCAGTTGAAGCCTGTTTCCTTAGGCCTGCCTCAGCCTCTCAGGAGAGTGAGAGTGGGAGTCTATTTTTACTTTGTTCTTCCACTGGATGTTAGAGATTTCAGCCCAGGGCCGGAGCCTAGGTGACCAATGGGTGGGAGGGTGGGTTGGGGAAGGGCCCAGGCTGGAACCCTTTCACTCACCAGTTCAATCCCAAGCCCCAGTAGTGCAGTGTTTCTTGAGCTTTCTTATGTTAGGAGCCTCTTAGAATACCTGATGGAAGCTGTAGACCTTTCCTCTCCCCAAAAAAGTTCATGTAGAATTTTTGAAGGGTTCATAGGGCCCCTGCTTACAGCCTCAGGCTGTGCACCCCATGACATCAGGAGGGTTATTCATGCAGATGCAACGTGAGGCGTCCCCCTGAAGTTACGCAAGGGAGCAGCCCTATTCACACATCATCCGAGGCCCGCCTCAATATTGCTTTTTGCCTTGGTCACAACGTCCTTCAGGAGGGAGCCAGGGAAGAGGTTACCACTTACTACCATCTGGCTTCCCAACTCTCCTGCTTCCTTTCTGTCTTCCCCTTTTCCTCTTCTCCACGTCCTGACTGACCCCTACTCATCCCTCACCAAGTTCTGGTCATTTTCCATCACCTAGATAACTTAGGACTGGTTTCAGATACTTTAAACATTTTCCTCACTGTTCTAATGCAAGACCAGCTGCCAATATATCAGGTCATGTGGAGACCAGGGCCACCCATACCGTTGTGCAGGTTGTTGCCTGCACATCTCCAAGAGTAAAGTCCCTGGGAGGAGGAGCTGGACAGTGCACCACATGGAGCCCAGTGGTGGCAGCCCTGGTAGAGGTGGCTGCACTGGAGGAGACATACTCTCCCCTACCTCAGTGTTTTACAAGATTTGAGAACTCTCAGAAGCCCCACCATAGGACTTATGTGCAAGTTGATGCCACTCCATACTCACGTAACAGGCATTCCCCGGCTTACAAATGACTTTGTGCTCTCAGTTATCTAAGTTAGCCTTCTGAAACTGAACCAAAATGATGCTTGAAAAGGCAGTTTGGTTCTCAGCTCCCCTCCATACACAGGGGCCTGCTGTGCCCGTGATAGAGCTGGGGTGGGTATGAGGCCTTTGTGGTCTGGTCCAGGGAACTCCTGTTCCTTGAGTAATGGGAAACCTAGTGGCCAAGGAGCAGTGGGTGATGGGCAGACAGATGGGGCAGGGTTGGGGCAGTGGGAGCTGCCCGCCCCACAGACTCCTGCTCTGCTGTGACCTCCTGAGGCTACCTCCACGAGTCCCTGGGAAGTCACGCTCCTGTCCCTGTCCACGAGTGCCTTGCTGGGTGACCTTGAACCTCATCTCCAGGCCTCTCAAGTTGTCTATCTCCGCCTGCACAGGAGACCTCACCAAGTTTTCTAATAATCCGATTCCCACGGAAAACGTGGGTAGACAAGTTGTAGGCCACGGCTGCCTCCAGTTAGGTTGCCCGTCTCTGCGTCCCTTGGAGTAGCCTGGCATGGAAGGACATAGCATATGTCCAGCTGAGGACTTTCTCTGTCCCCTCCGAGCAGCTTTGCTCAAGGGATTAATTATTTAACTGGGAATTTCAGGTGTGTGTCACTTTGAGTCAGAATCAACTAGACAACAATGGGTTTTTGTTTGTAGAAAGAACAATGGGTTTGGGGGATTAAATCTTGTTTCTGACCCTACCCACTCCCTGCCCAAATACTAGCTAGGGAGCAAGCTGTGACCTGCCCTATAAAACGACAAGACAGTTACAGGACAGCACACAACAGGCTCTCAAGAAATGCTTCTCTCCTCAACCCCTATTTCTCAACAAACGGGGGGTGCTGGGAGGAACCTTTAAGAGGCTTAAAAGACATCCAAAAAAGGGCAAAACTCTAGTGTCTGGGTACACACCCTTGGGCAGTGATAAAAGTCAAAGTAGTGGCTCCTTTAGGGAAGGAGGAGGTTGTAATTGGCCCGGGTCATGTGGATAGGCTTCTGGGGTGGCTGGGAAAACCAGTTCTTAGCTGACGGTGACAAAGAAGTTTTGCACTTTTGTTTTTTACATTAAAAAAAAAAAAAAAAAAAACCCCGCTTTTTTCCTTCCTCTCTCCCTTTGCCATGTAAGTACGGCTCCCTGGAAAGGAAGCCAGACAAACCCTTCATGCTTGATGCCCAGCCATGCAGCAGCGGCCCTGCGTTATCTGCTGCCCGGACCCTCCCTCTCCACCCTGAGGGGGCCCGTGTCAGACAGGGTTAGGGAAGGCTGTTCACACAAGGCAGGATCCTTGCAGAGACTGAGGGGAGACAGCAGCAGCAGTGAAAGGCAAGCGGGGAAATCCTCCCTCAGAGTGAAACTTGTTTAGAGCAATGGCAGACCTGCCTGCTGCTGCCAGAACGACCCATTTCCTGAACAACTCAGAAGAGGGCAGTGCCTGTTCTAATTCTTATCTCCGATGCTGACCTTTTCCAGCCTCTCCCTAGGACTTGCCAATACCACATGGTATTGTGTCAGAGGAAAACCGATGCCTCCACCTGTGTGTGGATGGCATGGGGGAACGAGATAAACAGAGTTCAGTGAAGAAAAAGGACCTATCAACATAGTGAAGAGGGGACCTGCCACAGCGTCTCTGGCCCCCAAGGGTCTACCTGGCCTGGGATGAAAATGTCAAACACTTAGCAGCAACATTAGGCTAGATTTGCTTTTCAGAGTAGTCTGACCAGATCTTAATATCACCCAGTTCAGTTCCTTCCAAGCATTCTCCAAGCAGCAGCAGCTTCCACATCAAGCCAGTCTCTGCCTGCACCTCGTGAGTCAGGTGGGAATTTAGCTTTTCATCCAGCCAAAGCAGGGGACCAAACCTCCTCCCCTGATGACAGCTGCCAGGGACCATACCTCCCTATTTATATGTGGCGACACTGGCTCAGGCCTGGCTCCTGCCCACCTGGCTCTCGGTCCTTGGCTGCAGGCAGCCTTTCCCAGGCCCTGCGACGTGGCCCACGGCCCCATCTTCAGCAGCTGCCCCAGCAGCACAATTTAGATGTCCCTGGGGCCTAGGCAAACTCCTGGTCAGAGGTGGTCAGTCAGGGCTGAGGTTAGCCCTGGAGTTGTCCAGCAGGACCCTACAGTTGGCTAAACTGCCCTTAGAATTTAAACGTGCCTGATCTCCATGTTCCTGTCTGTTCTCAGCCCAAAGTGTGGTGCCAGGCGCACCGCCTCATGCAACTCATCTGTACTCAAGCACCTCAGAGGAGCCTGGTGGGGGAACTTTGATCTCTAAGGTCTTGCCTTGTAATCCTCTTACAAACCCCCCACCCCCAGCCCTGCCATGTGATCTTCCCTACAGCACATTAGGATTTCTCTGGTCTGCCCTTCTGCTCATGCTGGCTGCTCTGGGGCACTTGCTGTGACAGTCCAGCATGTTTACAAAGAGCAAAAACAAAGACCTGACATCCATTTCCCCACAACACTGAAGAGCAGCAGTCTGGGGAGCGAACAAAGCCCGTTACAAGCGCAGAAATGACCACATCTCCCAAAACACCCACCGCCACTTCTGACCATGTGAGTGAGGCTGCTTGCGGTGCAGGGATTGTCAGCAAGTTGAAAAGGACCAAGTGTTTTGATGCAAATATGATATTAAATCAAGTGCTGTGGGCTTTTCAAGTGGAATTCTCAGCACTAAATGGCATTTTCTTGAAATGGATATACTTTCCCAATCTTTAAAGCAAAGGCAAAGTGACTTAATAGGACAGCTTCAAACCTGCTGAACAATGACAGCCCCCCTGTGGCACCAGTCAACTGTGGTGGCTGGTCCTGACACTCACTCAAAGGTTTCCTAGATCATGGTATCACTTCAGGGAGAGCGAGTAAAACTCTCTCAGGGAGACAGAATAAAAGAATCAACTACTATACTTTAGCACCTGGGTATTAATAGCAGGACAAAAAGTAGGCTGTGACCCAAAGCAGACCTTCTTGATTGACCATAACAGGGCTAGGGGCTCAGCTTCGATGATTCCACAAATTCAAGACTCTTCTTTGCACTGTGGCCTTTTCCCATTACTATTCTCCCTTGACCTGGGTGTGACGAAAAGGATTCAATTTTCTATACACAAAGTTAGGAGGAAATACCAACCTTTATTTACAACTCGGGTTCAAGTTCAGAGTCTAGTGCAGTAAAGTGGGAAAAAACATGGGTCCTGAGACCAAGGTTCAAATCCCAACACAAACATATTGACTGGGTGACAAGCAGCAAACAATACCCTTAGTTTCCTCAGCAAAGAGAGCAGAGTATCACCTATGATCTGGCAGTGGCTCTTACAGCTGCCTCTGTCCCAGCCCCCTTCTCGGGCCATTCAGAGCCTCTCAGGCAGCTCAGCAGACAGAGCTGGGGCTCTGCAAGTGCCTCTCAGCTGTGCGGTTGATAAAGGTGCTCTAGGGGAGCCCCCACCCCAATCTTTCACCAAAGGCAATAAATAAGGACTCAGTGGAGCTGGTACCAGGACCCAGTGAGAAAAACTGCATATAGTTGTTGGTCAATAAATATTAATTATTTACAAGTCTGGCCCAGAGCAAGGACAGGGAACCTTGTACACAGTAGCTATTTGGTACACAGTTGTTGAATTCTAACACCTAATTTTGAGGGAGAAAATGATATGTTGTTGTCTTTATGCTGATTTGTGCCAGGACTCCTTTTCATCTGATTAGTGGACTAAACAACCTGATTTTAAAATGATATACTTATTACTCATCCTAAAGACCACCCAGACACTATACACATAATATACTAAGTTACTGTGTGTTTGTGTACGTATACATACACACAGAAACCACGAGGTAGTTTAATAAATCACCATTAAAAAATAAACACTTTCTCTAATTCTGTCCGAGTGGTAACCAGTGACTGCACAATAGCCGTTCAAAATCATTGATAAAATGAAAACCAGAACTCAAAAACTTCCAAGAGAGTTGAAAATACAATTGTATTTTAATGTCTTGGTCTCTGAAAACTAAGCTGTAACTGCTTTAAATTAATGATCAAAGTTATATGTTTTTCTTTAAAGGACACAGCCTTCAGATATCTATACAACTTACCAAGTAGTCTCAATAACGGATAATATTTTACAACTTAACGTTACTCTCCATGCTTTTGTGGAGGATTCAATACAATCTCTATGTACACATTTTAAACATTATTTCTGAACTTCATTTGGAATTCCTTAAATAAAAAAAAAAGATCACCATTCTTCACCTTCTTAAAAAACTGCCAGACTAACCCCCTGACGGAATTCCCTCTCCAGAATACCTGGAGAAATCCCTGCCCCATACCCCCCAAACCAAAAAAGTGCAACAAATTCACACTACACGGGAAAAAGTAACATCTATTGTTCTTAGAGTCTGACACTCTTCCCACAGCAAGGAAAATCTTAGCAGGTATGTTGATGCTGTCTTACGCTGCCAGGGAAACGGGGCTCTTTCACACTAGAGCAGGAAAGTCTTCAGGGTCATCCGGGTTTGGAGCAACATCTTGTGTCTAGACAAGGCAAGTTTTGAAATCAACTGTCATTTCAGCCATTCCCAACACAACTGGTACTTGGGCAGACACTGCTTGCTGTGGGTGCCCGATCTCATCCAGGTGACACGGGAGAGGCAGGGCCCCTGGTGCAGGGGAAAGTCACAGGGTCCCGCTGAGAAAGGTCATGCACGTGAACTGCAGGCAAGTGCTGCACGGACCCCCACAGGGAGGGCCCCCACAAGGAGGACCCCACAGGGAGGGCCCACACAGGGAGCGCCCACAGGGAGCACGGCAGACACCCTCCTATTGCCGCAAGAGGACTGCAGAATGGAGGACGGGAAGCTGCCCTCCAGTCCTTGCCCCAACGCAGAAAGCTGTGACCCCCACGGATGAGCCACTGAGGTAGTTAGAGTGGCTTCTACAACTTTACAAAGGGCCGACAGCTGCCCACCTCCCTTCTTTCCTCCCACACATCCTTACTGAGTGACCCATTGTGTATCTGGCCCTTTTTTCATCCAGCACACGGAGTGTTTCCTCTGTGCCGAGCAATGGACACGGAAGGATGAGTAGGTAGGTCTTGCCTTGGGGAGCTCCCAGAATTAAGTGGAGAAGAAAACCAGGGAAGTTACAACAACGTGGCAAGTTCAGTGACAGATGTCCTAGGAGTTGGGGGCCATGATAGAGGCATCTAGTACAATGTGGTGGCAAAGCAGGCATCATGGGTGGGTGAAGTTTTCTGGGAGAGGAGGTTCTGCCTGAGATGGGCCTCAGTGGATGAACAGAGAACGCAGGTCCTGAGAGTGCGCGACCTGCCCATGAGGTGGGGCCTGAAGGCACTGCTGAGTCCAGCGGAGCCCGGGTGTGCTGGGCCCTGGGGAAACCAATAATGAGCAAAGGCAGACATGGTTTCTGCTCTCCATTGCAGAGAAGGCAGACACTGACCAATACTCACACCAATGAAAACACAATTACAAGTGGAGATAATACTTCAAAGAAAAGGAATAAAATCCCCTGCTCAGAGGCCCTGACCTGGTCTGGTGGGAAGGATGGTCAAAGCTGCCTTCTCTGAGGAAGTGCAGTTAGAAAGATCAGTTCTAGTTATGCAGGCAAATGGCAGGAGAAGGACTAGCCTTTGCAAAGGCCTCGTAGGGTAAGGCACATGCGTGTCTGAAGAACTAGGAGAGCATTGCGGCCAAGGCAAAGAATGGTTTGAGTGAGAAGGGGAGTCTGGTAAGGTGCTAAGGAGGGGGTTGACCACAGAGGGCCTTGGAGCCTTGGGAAGAATTTTATCTTTAACCAGAAAGCATCATAAGCTGGCATTAAGAGGGCTGGGCATGGCATGGAGGACACAGTCGAACTATAGTCCGTAAGCAACCGACAGGCGATGCGATTTGATGCCAAGCAGGGGCTCTTGTCTGATGCTGTGAGGAGTGTTTGTGTCTGCGGCTCTGAGAGCACATCCCTGCAGACAGCAGACCTCCCTGGAGGCCAGCACTGCCAGTGGTCTGCATCCTACGCTCATCCAGAATCCTGAAGTCACTCCCAAATACCCCAGAATCAGACACGCACACTAGATTGGAGGAATCAACTGCAGAGCCTGATGACCTCCAAAGTTAGACTGTGCAGGCCCAGGGCCTACTCGCCTCTCACTTCTCTCAGAAAACCATCCAGTATTTATGAAACAAGCACCTACCACCACTTCTGCTCTGGGTCGGTAGTTTTCTGCTCTTCTGATCCTTCCCCGGCCTCCCCGTGTGCCACCTCTGGCTCCACGCCCGGGACGAGGGAGGTTACCAAAATTAATCTCCAGCTGGGATGTGATGTCATTGGCCACTTTCCGAAAAATGTGGGAATCATCCTCATAGTCATCCTTCACCGTCTGAAACACACAAATACACACAGCCACCTCCATGAACACCAGTTCAGCCCGGTGTCAGAGTGATAAGCCACTCTGACACGCTGCCCAGGGGCTAAAAGGACACCAAGGGCTGGAAGAAGGCACTGGATCAGGGGTAGGGGGGAGGCGTTGCACTGCAGGGCTAGGTGAGGGAAGAAGACCCTCTGCTGTGCTGGTTCTAACATAAGCGAATTCTGTGCATTTAGCAGTCACATATTCTCAACATTACAATCTAATCCAATCATCTATGAATTTCCTATTATTTCAAGTAAGACCAATTTCTACCAGTTCAGCAGGTTAAGAAGACTGACATGACTAAAAGCAATCAAAATAAAATGATCTAAGAATTTTGCTGAGATTAAAAAGTTTTAATTTCTGCCAATCTTCTGTTTTATTTGCTCACAGTTGCTACTTCGATCAATAAAGAAATACAATCTTCTTGGAATAATACAACTTGGTGGAGGCACTCCTTTCAGTGTAGATGCTGACTGTACAAATAACCTGTTGCATCAAGCTGACTCCAACTCATGTGTGTCAGAGTAGAACTGTGTTCCACAGGGGTTTCAATAGCTGATTTTTTGGCAGTAGATTGCCAGGCCTTTCTTCCGAGGCACCTCTGCATGTACTCGAACCTCCAATCTTTCGGTAGCAGCTGAGTGCATTAACTGTTTGCACCACCCAAGGACTCTGACTGAACAAAACTATATATTAAAAATTGAATGATTTACAATAAACAGTTTCTGTCCAGAAATGTATGGAAATGGTAAAACAGAGATTATGGATATCTGAGGGTTGCTACCAGTGCTGCACAAACAAATCAAGAAAGAAATCAACCTGCTTTTTAAAAACTGCTTCGTTTAAACTTCCGGAGAAAGCGCATTTTATTGTAAAAGGTGAAAACTGTTTTATTTCTTATTAAAAGAAAACAAAATTATGTTAAAGAAAACTCACTCAAATTTGATTTGGTTTCAAATCACTGTTGTTAGGTGCCGTCCAGTCGGTTCTGACTCATAGTGATCCTATGTACAACAGAACAAAACAGTGCCTGGTCCTGCACCATCCCCACGATCGTTGTTATACTTCAGCCCATTGTTGCAGCCACTGTGCCAATCCATCTCATTGAGGGTCTTCCTCTCTTTCACTGACCCTCTACTTTACTAAGCATGATGTCCTTCTCCAGGGACTGGTCCCTCCTGATAAAATGACCAAAGTATGTGAGATGAAGTCTTGCAATCCTTGCTTCTAAGGAGCACTCTGGCTGTACTTCCTCCAAGACAAATTTGTTCGTTCTTTTGGCAGTCCATAGTATATTCAATATTCTTCGCCAACACCATAATTCAAAGGCATCAATTCTTCTTCGGTCTTCCTTGTTCATCGTCCAGCTTTCACATGCATATGAAGCGACTGAAAACACCATGGGTCGGGTCAGGTGCACCTTAGTCCCTAAAGTGACATCTTTGCTTTTTAACAATTTAAAGAGGTTGTTTTGCAGCAGATTTGCCCAATGCAATGCATCTTTTGATTTCTTGTTGGTGCTTCCATGGGTGTTGATTGTGGATCCAAGTAAAATGAAATCCTTGACAACTTCAATCTTTTCTCCACTTACCATGACGTTGCTTACTGGTCCACTTGTGAAAATTTTTGTTTTCCTTATGTTGATGTATAATCCATACTGAAGGCTATATATTCTTTGATCTTCATCAGTGAGTGCTTCAAGTCCTCTTCACTTTCAGCAAGCAAGGTTGTGTCATCTGCATATTGCAGGTTAATAAGTCTTCCTCCAATCCTGATGCCCCGTTCTTCTTCATACAGTTCAGCTTCTCAGATTATTTGCTCAGCATACAGACTGAGTAAGTATGGTGACAGGATACAACCCTGACACACACCTTTCCTGACTTTAAACCACACACTATCCCCTTGTTCTGTTCAAACGACTGCCTCTTGGTCTAAGTACAGGTTCCTCATGAGCACAATTACGTGTTCTGGAATTCCCATTCTTTGCAGTGTTATCCATAATTTGGTATGATCCACACAGTTGAATGTCTCTGCATAGTCAATAAAACACAGGTAAACATCTTTCTGGTATTCTCTGCTTTCAGCAAAGATCCATCTGATATCAGCAATCATATTTCTTGGTCCACATCTCTTCTGAATCCAGCTTGAATTTCTGGCAGTTACCTGTCGATGTACTGCTGCAACTGCTTTTGAATGATCTTCAGCAACATCTTACTTGTGTGTGGTATTAATGATATTTTTCGATAATTTCCATATTCTGTTGGATCACCTTTGGAATCTGTACAAATATGGAGCTCTTCCAAATGGTTGTCCAGGTAGCTGTCTTCCAAATTTCTTGGCATAAACAAGTGAGCACTTTCAATGCTGCATACAGTTGTTGAAACCTCTCAATTGGTATTCCATCAATTCCTGAAGCCTTGTTTTTTGCCAGTGTTGGACCATTTCCTTCAGTACCATCGGTTCTTGATCATATGCTACCTCCTGAAATGGCTGAACATCGACCAATTCTTTTTGGTACAGTGACTCTGTGTATTCCTTCCATCTTCTTTCGATGCTTCCTGCATTGCTCAATATTTTGCCCATAGAATCCTTCAATACTGCAACTAGAAGCCTGAATTTTTTCTTTAGTTCTTGTAGCTTGAGAAATGCTGAGTGTGTTCTTCCCTTTTGGTTTTCTGTCTCTAGGTCTTTGCACATTCATTATAATACTTTGTCTTCTCAAGCTGCCCTTTGAAATCTTCTGTTCAGCAATTTTACTTCATCATTTATTCCTTTTGCTTTAGCTACTCTGTGTTCAAGATCAACTTTCAGAGTCTCTTCTGACATCCATTTTGGTCTTTTCTTTCTTTCCTGTCTTTTTAATGACCTCTTGCTGTCTTCACGTATGATGTCCTTGATGTCATTCCGCAACTCATCTGGTCTTCAGTCATTAGTGTTCAGTGCACCAAATCTTATTTTTGAGATGGTCTCTAAATTCAGGTGGGATATACTCAAGGTCGTCCTTTGGCTCGCGTGGACTTGTTCTAGTTTTCTTCAACTTCCACTTGAACTTGCATATAAGCAATTTATGGTCTGTTCCACACTTGGCCCCTGGCCTTTCTCTGAGTATTTTCCATTGTCTCTTTCCACAGATGTAGTCTATTTGATTCCTGTGTATTACATCTGGCAAGGTTCACGTGTATAGTTACCATTCACGTTGTTGAAAAAAGGTATTTGCAATGAAGAAGTCCTTGGTCTTGCAAAAGTCTATCCTGTGATCTCTGGCATTGTTTCTATCATCAAGGCCATAATTTCCAACTACCAATCTTTATTCTTTATTTCCTACTTTCACATTCCAATTACCAGTAATTATCAATGCATCTTGATTGCATGTCTGATCAATTTCAGACTGTAGAAGCTGGTAAAATATCTTCAATTTCTTCATCTTTGGCCTTAGTAGTTAGTGCATAGATTTGAATAACAGTCATATTAACTGGTCTTCTTTGTAAGCGTATGGATATTATCCCATCACTGACAGCGTTGTACTTCAGGATAGATCTTGAAATGTTCTTTTTGAAGATGAATGCAATGCCATTCCTCTTCAATTTGTCATTTCTGGTATACTAGACCATATGATTGTCCAATTCAAAATGGCCAATACTACTCCATCTCAGCTCACTAATGCCTAGGATATCGACGTTTACACGTTTCACTTAATTTTTGACGACTTCCAATTTTCCTAGATTCATACTTTGTACATTCCACGTTCTGATTATTAATGGACGTTTGCAGCTGTTTCTTCTCATTTTCAGTTGTGCCACATCAGCAAATGAAGGTATGGAAAGGTTGACTCCATCCAGGTCATTAAAGCCAACTCTACTTTGAGGAGGCAGCTCTTCCCTAGTCGTATTTTGAGTGCCTTCCAACCTGAGGGGCTCATCTTTGGCACTGTATCAGACAATGTTCTGCTGCTATTCATAAGGTTTTCACTGGCCAATTTTTTCAGAAGTAGACTGCCAGGTCCTTCTTCCTAGTCTATCTTAGTCTGGAAACTCCGCTGAAACCTGTTCACCATGGGTGACCATGCTGGTATTTGAGATACCTGTGGCAAAGCTTCCAGCATCACAGCATCATGCAAGCCACCACAGTACGACAAACTGACAGACACGTGGTGGCTCAAATCATAATAAATGACAAGCAAATAAACATAAAACCTTAATAATAAAGGATAAACAAAACAAACAAACAAACAAAAAAACCCTAACTTTAAGTAAAACATGCACTTACAAAAAAGAAAATATTTCAGTGATCTTGGAGAAGAATCTCCAAAGCGCTACCATGTGGAGCCTTCCTACAATATGCCCAGGAAATGGAATCACACCTCCATGAGCATATCAACCCCTTTCGGTCATCTGTTCATTACAAGTTTCATGTTTAACATTCTTGTCCCCCTTCAAACTTTCAAGATTAAAGTAAAACAGGGGATTTATGTAGATGGGCGCTTGTGGCAAAAAAAAAAAAAAAAAGCTGAAGGGAAGAACAGTCCCGAATTGTTCTTCAGAAGCACTGGCACGCAGGTGAAAAAAAAACTGGCTGTCAGTGTGCATCAGTAGGGAAGTGGTTGGTTAAGTGGGCCCTGCTGGAGCTGACTGCAGATCACCCTATCACCATAAGAAGGGTTAGGGTGCAATGGGAGGAAGGGTGGATGAACAGTCAGAGGCTTGGCTTCTGCGAACACCTCTGTGTGGCCCCAGCTGAAGCGCTTCAAGGCCCAGCTCATTTCAGAGTCCCTGTTAGATCCCCACTTCCCAAACAACTGTGCTCCAGACAGACAAGAGGTATTATTCTCATGCTTCTGTTTCCAGGGCACCCGAAACAAAACAAACTAGTGCCTCCAACATTTGGCTTACGTTGCTCTTAAGAACCACTCCTGGCTGAAATCTTCAATGCCGTAAGATTAACAAGGACCAAAGATGTGTCCTTTGCTGAGACCAAGTTCAATGTCAATGACTCAGCTAACTTAGCTCCTTCAAATATTCTAGGAGAACCCTGGAGCCAGGGAGGATGGATCTGGTGTGGATTAAGGAAGAGCTGATGCTATTTTTACCAACCATGTCAGCTGCACATTTAACATCCTGACAGTGCATTTGCTTTAGGCAAAGCTTTATTTACAATGTTCCAGAACAAAGGAAGTAGACACCAAAAGAACCAACCCAGCTAGTTGATGGACTTGTAAAAAACCTCACAGAGATTTCCAAGAGAATAAGCCTTTGGCCTCCTATGTCTACACAGAAGTCATTTCTAGTGGAGCAGCTCAAAACTTATCAGTAAGGCCTCTAAGAGCTTGAACTGACCAAAACAGGACAAAGTGGGGTGGGGGAAGTCCTGTATCATCTATGACCCTCATTCAAAGAACACCAATAACCAGAGTGTAAATGGGAACACAGAGAAATATACACACAATAAAATTCCAAGTTTGAAAAATGGAAATCAATGAATAATATCCAGCACAGAGGAAGGGCTTGCTTGCCAGCACCATCTTACACAGGGCCTGATATCAAATAAATATCTCTGATTGAATGATGCAAATTCTAAATTCTAAAATCAGAATGCTCCATTGTACCCATAAGTTCAGTAACTTAAAGAGGAGGTGATTAAATGAATCAACAATGATCCTTATCAATAGATGCTGGTAGATACTTCTCCTGAAACATCCACCTTCAAAGCTGGGACATCCGATAAAGAGCTGAAAGCAAACCATGAAAAATAAGCCCCTCACAACAAAGAGGAAATCCACGGCCCATTCCTGCAGGATGGCAGGCTATTACAACAGTGACTGCATATGCTGCCATGCGCCACACTGGCTTCTGTTCTGCAGTTTTCCGTAGCTATGCAGTGGGATCAAAGCTGCTGAATTAAAATGAGAACGGCTTCACAGAGTACGATGCCCCAAGCCTAGTTTTAAATGATCAACTACTCCCAATTCCTTATTAAATGCTCTAAGAATGCAAACGGAAGGTAATCTAACCATGACAATGCAGAGCAGTTATCCTTTGAATGGCATGGTACAGGAAACATTCTGCAGCCCCGCATTTAAGAGTCAGAAATGCAATGCAATTAACACAGAGTTATCTGTGTCGTTGCAGTACACTTCCGGGTGAGCAGAAAGTGCAGTCACCATAACTGCTTTCTACTTATGCGTCAGTAGATCAAGTTTCAATTCTTTGTCTTAATGACAATAAATACTGTAAAACTAGGCATCCATCCTCTCTGCTTACTCAGGTAGAAACTAGAATGCCAACTACTAATGTTCCACTTTCAAAATAGAAGTGGAAATGTCCATTGTGTTTCTTACAAGGTAAAAGAAAAGATTACTGGTAGATACAAAACACAATACTTACATCATCTCTATATTTTGACTTGTGAATCACCACTGCTTTGGAAGGAACAGTGGATTCAGGTTTCCGGATGTTAAACTCAGGCTTTGGTCTGGTCTGTTCTTGAAGATTTTTCCACTCATCTAAGGTCATCTCATGAACTTGAGTTTCATCTTCTACCTCCAACTCAGGAACTCTATAAAGATGTACAATCATATGCAGAATCATTTTTTGATGGGTATGACATGTCTACTTTCTCAAAGTAAAAATTCATATAACCATTAGCTTAACGTATTTTCATGTTACTGTATCTCAAATCTGAATAAGATAAGAAAATCTCTGAACCATAAGCTTCCTTAATCACTTTATTTTCACCATTTCATGCTATCATTGCCAACTGAAGAGACTTCCCGCTGTGTGTTCAGAGCAGTATTGGGAAAGTGGGAACACCATCCCAATGACATTAGCATTACACTCCACCACAGCTACTCCCTTTCCAGATGGCATTAAACAGAAATGAGATCACTGTAGAAAAAGAGAAGCTACTGAAATAGAGGAAATTAATGAACAAGTTTAAATCAATGGGTCAAAAAAGCATATTTTTGTCAATATTCTCTTAAAATTTTAAGAAAACAAAGCAGACGTATAGATCAATGGAATGGAATTGAGACTCCAGAAATAAACCTTTCCCATTTACCGTCAATTGATTTTTTTGACAAACGGCGCCAAAGACAATTCAAAGGAGAAAGAACAGTATTTTCGACAAATGGTGCTGTTGTTCTTGTTGTTGTTAGGTGCCATCAAGTGGGTTCCAACTCATAGCGACCCCATGCACCACAGAACGAAACACTGCCCAGTCCTGTGCCATCCTCACAATCGTTATTATGCTTCAGCCCATTGTTGCAGCCACTGTGTCAATCCATCTCCTTGAGGGTCTTCTTCTTTTTATGTTTGCAGCTGTGTCGTCTCATTTTGAGTCGTGCCACATCATGAAACAAAGGTCCAGAAAGCTTGACTCCATCCGTGTCATTAAGGTCGACTCTACTTTGAGGCAGCACTCTTCCCCAGTTGTCTTTTGAGTGCCTTCCAACCTGTGGGGGCTCATCTTCCGGCACTATATCAGACAATGTTCCGCTGCTATTCATAAGGTTTTCACTGGCTAATTCTTTTCAGAAGTAGACTGCCAGGTCCTTCTTCCTAGTCTGTCTTAGTCTGGAAGCTCAGCTGAAACCTGTCTGCCATGGCTGACCCTGCTGGTATCTGAGTACCAGTGGCACAGCTTACAGCATCACAGCAACACACAAGCCCCTACAGTACGACAAACTGACAGACACTTGGGGGTCTGAGACAATGGTGCTGGGACAACTAAATTTCCACATGCAAAAGAATCAAGTTAGATCCACCTACGTCACACGATAAATGTACGAGCTGAAAGTATAAAAGTCTTAGAAGAAAACGTAGGCGTAAATCTTCATGATTAGGCAATGGTTTCTTAGATATGATACCAGAAGCACAAGTAATGAAAGAAAAAAAATAAATTGGACTTCATTAAAATTAAAAACTTTTGAGCTATAAACGCCATTAAGAAAGAGAAAAAACAACTCACAGAATGGGAGAAAATATTTGGAGATCATGTATCTGACAAGGAACTTGTATTTAGAATATAGAAAGCACTCTTAACAAGTCTATAATAATAATTTTAAAATGGGCAAAGAATCTGAATAAGCATTTCGCCAAAGAAGAGAAACAAATTGCCAATAAGATGCTCAACATCATTAGCTAACAGGGAAATGGAACTCAAAGTCACAATGAGATACTATTTCTCACCCATTAGGATGACTATAATCAAAAAGACAGATAATAACAAACGCTGGTGAGAATGCAGAGAAATTGGAACCCTCATATCTTATATACTGGTAGCGAATATAAAATGTAGGTGCTTTGGAAAACCGTTTGGCAGTTGCTCAAAAGGTTAAACATAGAGTTACATATGATCCAGCAATTCCACTCCTAGGTTTATACCCAAGAGAAATGAAAACATATGCCCACACGAAAACTTATACACAGCACTATTCAAAGGTAGAAACCTAAAAGTCCATCAACTGATGAATATTATTCGCAATAAAAAGGAATAAAGTACTGATATGCTACAACATGGATGAATCTTGAAAACATTATGCTAAGTGAAAGAAGCCAGTCACAAAGGACCACATGATGTATGATTCCATTTATGTGAAATGTCCAGAATAAGCCAATCTATAGATATTTAAGGAGAGAAAGTAGATTTGTAATTGCCTAAAGTTGGGAGAAGGGAGGAAGTAGTATGACTGCTTTTAGGGGGAAGGTGATGAAAATGTTCTAAAATTGATTGTGGTTAGTTGCACAACTATCTGAATATGCTAAAAACTATCGAATTGTATACTTTAAATAGGTGACTGTATGCTATGTGAACTGTATCTTAATAAAGCTGTTATTTAAAAAACAGCTTACAGTTTAGACTCCATTAAATAAATATAACAAGATTTTATGAAAACGAGACTATATCTAGGCTCTACCGGGGAGATAACCAGCTATTCCAGTACAGAGAACAGTAAGGAAAATTCCTGCCTTGTGATTCTGCACAGACTTAGCTGACAATGAGGATGTCAAGGAAAAACTAAAAGATGTGAGCAACTGGCTTATGAGAAAACTACCTCATGAGCAGAGAGGGCCATTATGTGTAATAATGTTCTCCTTTGTTTTCTCTATTATTACATTTAACAAATACACAGCACAGGGAAAGACTGTAGAGCACAAGTACCCAAGATGATAACTACTTACAAGCTAGGCGATAAGAGAAATGCAAAGGAAAAATAAAGAGGAAGAATAGTTGGGGCGGGTGAGGGAAAACACGTTGTGCTCAGCACTACTGATATTTTAGGGCCTGACAATAATGGGAACAAAACTAGGTCCTCACATAGACCTAACAATTTAATCCCTGCAGTCCTCAATCAGCCTGATACTAAGAGAGAGATCAGGATCCAATTTCCCTGAGGTACCTGATAAGGGTAAAGTTAAAATGAGGTTTGAAATGGCCAGGCTGGTAAATGGGAAAATATGTAGGGCTTGTCCCTAGTTCCCTTCCCTGGCCAGGATGCTCACATAGGCTACTGAGTTTGGAAAAGAATTTGATTGAGAAGAAAATAAGAGTTGGTAAGAATACTGAGTTGTGCAAAAGTAAGAACAAAGTATCATAGCTAGGAATCCTGGCTGGTCTACCATATTTTCCAAATCTCAATTTCCTCATCTATAAAATGAGGTTGAACTAGATGAATTCTAAAGACGCTTTTCAACTCTAAATGTCAATGACATAACTTAGTTGAATTAGAACAATATGTGGGGAGTGGAGAGGGAATCAAATCTATAATACCTTCAACGAAGAGCTAAAGTAATCTAAAGTTCTAGAAATATACAATGATGTGAAGAAAAAAAAAAAAGTAAAATCAGGACAGAAATCTAATCATAGAGCATCCAAAATAGATTAGCAAAGCGACTTTAAAATATCAAGTTGATGGCAGGGAAAAAAATCAAAGCAGTGGCTGCCTCTGAAGGAGCATGAAGGAACTTTCTGGAGTGATGGCAATGTACTTGATAGGAGTTTGGGTTCCACAGTATACGTAAAACAGCAAACGTACACTTAAGCGTTGTACATTTTACAGTATTTGAATTTTGTATCAGAAGAAAAATTGTAAACAAGTATTAAACTAGCTAAGACATGCACACTGAACTACTTAGGGGGAAATGTATAGATGTCTTCAGTTTACTTTGAAATGGTCAAAAAATAAGATGGATAGACGTGTGACAAAACAAATATTGTAAGATAAATGGTAGAGTTTAGGTGGTAGATATAGGTGTTCACTGTAAACTTCTTTAAACTTTGCTGTTTGAAAAATTTCATAATAAAATGTTGGAAAAATCCTAATACTTAAAACACGGATCCCGAAGATAATTGGTAAAAATATAAAAAGGAATTAAGAAAAAACTTTGTAATAGCAAAATACTGGAAACAACCCAAACTCATCAAGAGAATTGGTGGAAACACTGTGGATGCACACATAGATATGATACTAACCAGCTGAAAAAGGAATGAGGAGTATTTCTATCTACTGCTCTGAATAGTGCAGTATTATACTTCAATACTCCAGGACATATTGATGAAAAAGTAAGGTGGAGTGTACAGGATGTTACCATTCACCTAAGAAACAAGAGGCATACAAATAGATAGAAGTATTATATTTTTTTTAAATTCAAAGATGAAATAGGGAAAGAACAGTGGCAGAAGCTAGTTGAAAATACCATATTTTGCAGACTGAATTTTGGAAACATGTAAATATTTTATATAATTATAAAAGAGATTTAAATTAAAATTCAATCTTTAAAATCACATTAGTCTAAATGTTTATCAAGTTAATAACAACCAAGAGAAACTATTTCAAGCGACTTTAAAATACAAATTTAACTATGCATCCATCTGTATATAACTTTTTAGTAACTATATTATTGGAGGTAGTATTGGTCATGTTATTTGTGACTGTTGCGTGTGTGCAGCAAATGAGTGACAGTGTTGATGACACCGAGAACTGGGATTTTCATCATGGGAGAAGCGGAGAAACAAATGTAAGGTAGATACAGTTTAGCTAACAATCCTGTAGTCCTAAATTTGAATTGAAAATATTGAATGAACTCATATTTTATCTTAAAAAATACATGTGTACATGTCTACTTACCAGCTCTGTCCACTGAAATGTCCTATCAACAGTGAAAAACCAAAGGAATGAGCACCCCTAATGCCCAGCCTGTAGTCTCTAAATACCATATTCTATTAAGAGGAGTACAGCTCCTCAGAAAATGGCTGAGTGTAAGGTAGACAGTACGAGGCAGGCAGTATACATGATGAGTCTGGAATAACTTGTCTTACCAAAAGCAAGGTAGCTATCGAAGACTACTGAATGTGTGTTAAAAGCGACTCGGGTATCAATGGGAAGAGCTCCCGTAAGAAGAAACACTCAATGGATTAAAAAATATCAAATATATTTAAATCTATGAGTTCATAATGGCACTTAAAAAAAACAAGTAATTGGCACCTTTGAAGGGTGGGTGGTAAGGAACCAATTCATTATCAGAAAACTGGTAAATAAAAGGTAAGATGAATTTATC